AATCGCTTAAGTTGTTATCTAGAAAAACGGTTTTGGGTTTAAACCTATGAAAACTATAAACTAAACTAGCAAGGAAAAGTAAATGAAGGAAAATCCTAACTAAGGGAGCTTCACCCAGGAGTTTCTTCCCTCTAACTAGCTACCAAGACTCATTGGATTGGAACGATTGCTATGGGCAAGGTAACCGCGAACCTCTGAGGGATGCATATATGGTCAGAGACCACAATCTCAATTGCTAAACCGAGGTGAACAATATAGGCCGTGTCACTCGACCCTCTCGGTTAAGGCAATCGGTAGTTGAATTACTCCCTCACTCAACTCAAAGGTCGGACAGCTTAATCGCGATTGACTGATTTGCTTAATTCAACAATGTGGGTTGCCCTAAATTAACCTAAATAGGTGGCTTAAAAAGTTGAAGGAAAACCAACTCGATTGAGTCTCCCTTGGAAGGGGGATTATCCTCTGTAAGTTAGGTTAAGGTGGCTAGTTAGATTGCCAGCACCAACATGCACAAACCTAAGGGTGCTAAGCACAATTATGCACAATCCTTGTTTGCTAAGCACCAAAATTCACAAACCTAAGGATGCTAAGCACAAAACATGCACAACCCTTAGATTGCTAAGCACAAGCATGCACAATCAACATGAATAATACCTCAATCATTAAATTAAACAATACCCAATGACAATCATTCAATCTAAACAAGTAATTACAAAGTATTAGTTAGGGATCTACAACACCCAAGAGAAAAGAGTGAGTTTCTAGAGAGAGAGAGGGAGAGGGATTACAAATTTGAACTCAAGATCTTCTTCTTCTTCTAGGCTTGAATCTCCACCCAAGTCTCCAATGATGCTCCAAGATCACTCTCTCTCTCTCTCTCTCTCTCTCTCTCTAACTAGAACTCCCCTTTGGTGTTTTTGGGCAAACCCTAGAGAAAGAAACCAATTCTTCTCCAAAAACCAGCTCCCTCTTCTCTCTTCCCGTTGTTGTCTTCATATTTGCCCGAAAGTGACCAGTTCACGGACGCGTTAGCCAGTTCGCGGCCGTGAACACCTAAACGCGTCCGTGAACTCAGTGTTGTCCGAAACGCACCGCTTCACTGTCCTGGGTTCACGGTCAATGGTCACAGTTCACGGTCTTAGAGATCGTGAGCTCGCCTGTCGTCAGTAACTTCAAATTTGGCCCTGGACGCCTTGATGTTCACGGTTTGTGGTCCTAGTGCATGGTCTTAGGAGACCGTGAACTGCGGTTGTTTCCTGGGACGCCTTTACTTCACTGTTACGAGGCAATTGTCACGGTCTTCATAATTTTTTTCGGCTTTTGCACTTTTTGACCTCCAATTATCCCAAAATTTGACCTCGACCTTTCCACACGTGCTAGGACCTGAAATGTATAAAAACAAGCACAACCAGCGTGAAATATGTCGAGGAATGATGAAATACTAAGCTAAACGTAATACGACCCTAGGGGTGTATTTTTATCAAAATTCAAACAATCAATTCGAAGATTGATTGAACCCAAATCAAGAACATAACGTTTTTAATACGAAATTGGGATAAAACGAAACCAACGGACAATTCCACACCTGGGGAAAGCTCGTATGGTATAAAAGGGTAGTTGCTCGACCACGATTGAAGGTACTATTCAATCGATACACAAGCTCAGCAAGTTTGGAATCCACTAAATTCAAACAAGTCGCAACTTGCACAAAACCAAAGGTTTCTTTTTATTCAATCAACTCTGAATTTTACAACGAAAATAGAAGGCTATTTATAGCCAATAAAACCTAATGCAAGCCTAATATAATTAGGAAACAATTAAGGTAAAAACAAACTCTAAAACAGTACAAAACTCGGCCACAAACTTTCTTTCTTGACGCACAAGTAAGCTGCCAGCAAAACAGTCAAAAGGCAGCTTTCGTACTAACTTCACACCATTCGTTCGAGAACTTCCAGAACTCCAATTCTTCATCCAATTCCTTCCCTTTGTTCGCAAACATACCTAGTTTCATGTTGTGGAAGCCTTTTCACTTTAATCTCATCCATGCTCCTTGAATTGAGCTCCAAAGTAGGCTTCACAAAATAGTTTTTTGCCTTAGTCATTTTCTGGCAGTTTTCCAGTTTTGAGGTAGCAACTTTGAGGCCTTGGAAAATAACCTTAATGACATCTTCTGGATCCAAAAATCACACCATTGCAAAACAAACCCTTGACCTCCAATTTCCATTGAGCCATTTGTGAGATACAAGCTTCCAAAGTAGGCTACCTGAAACTGTTTCAACACTTAGCCAAAAATCAGAATTCTTCAAGTGAGTTGAGATGACTTCTTTGGAAAGAAATTGTGAATAGTGGATTGATCCAATTGGGATCATATCAAAATGAATAAGAAATGAGGGGTAAAATGTGTACATTTGAGCCCGAATCAGATGGCCACGTTTCGGTTCTTGGAGGAAAAGTTGTTAAGTCGACTTCAAGGGTGGAAGCAACAGATCCTGTCATGGGAGGCTAAGGAGACTTTGATCAAATCAATTGCATTAGCCTTACCTCTACATGTGATGTTTTTCTTTAAGTTGCCCCTGTCCCTATGTCGACTTTTGGATAGACATGTTGCCCATTTCTGGTGGGGTGTTGAAGGGTGTCGGTCAAGAATTAGGTGGGTATCTTGGCAGAAGCTGTGTACTAGTAAGCATGATGGTGGTATGGGCTTTCAGAGGTTTGAACACTTCAACCAGTCTTTGTTGGCCAAAATTGGGTGGCAAATTTTGTCGGAACCTCAATCGCTCCTTGCACAAGTCTATAAAGGGAAATATTTTCCGCGTGGGAATTTCCTAATAGCTACAGCCAGGTCTCGACCTTCTTGGGGGTGGCAGAGCATCCTGTATGGTTGTTCATTGCTTATCCAAGGCCTAGATGGCAAACTGGGAATGGTCGGACTGCCTCACTCCTCTCGGATAGTTGGGTCCCTCTTCTTCACCCTAATGCCCCGACCATTAATCCTCAAGTCCTTCCGGTTGGTGGAGATCCCAAGGTGGATGTTGTGATTTTCCAAGCAGAGGGTAAGTGGTGTGATGAGAAGCTCAGCCAATGGTTTGATCCAGTAGTCTGTCGGGCCATTAAAGCTATTCCTCTTCTCCGTGCGGAGATCGTAGACTCTTTCCCTCGCTCCTATTCCCCTCCATCTGCTTCATGACATGAGATAACTGATGGGATTTTCACAGTTAAGTCGACCTACCACTTAGCGTTCTTGCTTGATAAACAGGGTGGCCATTGGAGATCTAGTGCTTGCTGGATGGATAAACCAAGTTGGATCCGATTGTGGAACGCCAATATCCCACCTAAACTCAAAATGTTTATGTGGCAAGTGTTCCTTCGAATTCTTCCAACGACAGAAGCCTTGATTGAGAAGGATGTTCAGGTGTTGCCAAGGTGTCCGGTGTGCTGGGCGGAAAAGGAGACGATGGAGCATTTGTTCCTCGATTGCCCAGTAGCCCGGGCTCTTTGTGATCTATCGAGCCTCGAGTATCTTGGCCAAGGGGTGCCACTTCATACCTTTCATCTTTTCCTTAAGAAACTGTTGTCCTTAGTAGACCAGTCCCATTTGTTCATGGCGGTAGTGGCTGTCCTTTGGCGAATCTGGTGGTCGCGTAATTGGGTTGTCTTTGAGGGAAAGCAGTTTGGGATCCCAGCGCTGATGCGACAGTTTCATCAGGAGTATCAGGAATGGGTCTCTCTTCCTCTCGCCCGTGGTCAGAAGAATGCTGGCGTTTCCCCGATTCAAGCTGGACCTGTCAGCCCGACGCATTCCATTGTTTGTATGTTGGATGAGACGATGAGAACTGGGTCTCATTCGGCTGGAGGGATTGTGCTTAAAGACCTCACAGGAAATATCCTTACGGTCTGGGTATGCAGTTCCCTGAAATTGATGACCCTTTGGTGGCAGAAATGTTGGTTCTTCGGGAGGCAGTAAGTTGGTGTCTGGAATTGGGATTTCTGGTGACTTGTTTCCAAGGTGACGCCCAGGTTCTAATTAATAAAATCAATCGGCGGGGCGCGAGAGATAATCGGAGTGGGCATGTTCTCGAGAAGCTCATCCGGGTGTTTTCATATCATACTGAGCTTAATGTTCGCTTTGTAGGTCGGAGTAGCAATAAGATAGCCCATTTGGTGGCTCGAAAGGCCCTCAGTTTGTACCTGACTACATGTCGATTCTTTGATTTTCAGACCTGGCTGATTTTCAGGATGTAACTATCGTTTGATCTTATCAATATAGTGGATTATCTTTTGTCAAAAAAAAAAAAAAGACAACTCAACCTAAGATCGTCTGCGAAGATCCTGTTATGATTTTGTCACTCATGCCACTCGACACTTAAGGTAGAGTAGAGTCGAACCCCATTCAACATGATGGCAAACACGAATACGACCCATCGGTGTCTCTTGTACTTTTCATTCGAGAACACATATAAAAGCTATTAGATTAGGGCCCACCTATTGGCCGGATATATTTTGTCAATCAAACATAAACAACAATCCCAATGGTATAAAGTAAGATATATTTTTATTTAGTATTTTAAAAATAATCCAAATTTTTTAATAATTAAAAAAAACCCTACATCGTAGAATTTTCCGACATCCTGCCTAATTCATTGATAAAACTTTGTAGGGAAAGTAGCGGATAAAATCTTTGATAAGGGATCGACTAATAAAAATCTTGCAAAATCACACTTTGATTTACGGAAAAAATCCAAAACTACCACTGTTAAAAAAAAAATTACAAAAATACCACCCACTCCAAAGAATTTCCAAAAATACCACCCTTTATTTAAAACCGCCTATCTAAGGAGCGGTTAGCATTAAAACCGCGTCTCGAAGAAACGTTTTTCATAATAAACGCGCCTCTGGGAAGCGTTTTTAATTTCCAGAACAAAACGCTTGTGGAAGACGCGGTTATATGCTAACCCTACCACAAAACGCTGTATAAAAGAGCGTTTAAGTGTCGGCAATACAAACCGCGTCCCCAAGCGGCGGTTTTGAGGGTCAGGACACAAACCGCCTCTCCAAGCGGCGGTTTATAGTGTCAGGACTCAAACCGCTGCCCAAAGGCGCGGTTTGTGCATGGTCACCCGACAGCCAACATGTCGGACATGTCGGCATGCAGGGGGTAGGGCACGTAGGGGTGCATGGCAGACCTAAAACCGCTCTCCCCCCCAGCGGTTTTAGTGCAAAATTTGCCTATAAAAGGCAGTTTCAGAGAACTCTATTCTTCACACCTCCTCTTCTTCCTTCTTAAAATTTCAGCTTTAAATTATTTAGTTTTTGCGATTAACATTAATTCGTAAGTTTGTTTCGTAATTACTTTTCATTGTCATTTGTGAATTTATGTTAGTAACTTAATTACTTTCCATTGTCATTTGTGATTTTATGTTAGTAACTTAATTACTTTCCATTGTCATTTGTGATTTTATGTTAGTAACTTAATTACTTTCCATTGTCATTTGTGATTTTATGTTAGTAACTTAATTACTTTCCATTGTCCTTTTTGATTTTATGTTAGTAACTTAATTACTTTCCATTGTCATTTCTGATTTTATGTTAGTAACTTAATTACTTTTCATTGTCATTTCTGATTTTATGTTAGTAACTTAATTACTTTTCATTGTCATTTCTGATTTTATGTTAGTAACTTAATTACTTTTCATTGCAGATGGCATTCCAAAGGTTCACGCTTGGGTTGCGGTGGAATGGTTACACGGAAGAGACCGAAAAGGGTGTAAGTTACGTCGGTGGCAATTTTTATAAAATGAAGTTCCGTACGAGACCGATGCTTGAAGAGCTCCATCAAATGTGCACTCAGATTACCTGCATGGATGGCACTAGAAGAGTTGATCGAATGGTGTATCGATATCCAAACAGACATGATGGGTCGCTGTGGCATGAGGAATTCCTCCTTACCACTCAGGAGGACGTTGATGCCATGGTCCAATTTTTGACCACCAATAAAATTAAGCAAGCGGAGATTTTCGTTTACACCGAGGTCGTCGAAGGCAGTGTAGGTCATTCTGGAGATGGCCAAACATCTGGTTTCCACGGTGGGAGTGTATTATACGAAAATCATCCCCACCAGGATTTCCAAGAGTCGAGCTGGAGGCAAGAGTATCATCATGGTACTGGAGGAAGTCATCAATCCTTCCCGTCATATGAAGAAGAAGCTCAACAGGCGGATTACAACCAACAAGCAGGCTACCAGTACCCACCCGACTACAACTTCTATCAAAGCGGTGTTAGTTACCACAACTACCATTACGGAGCTAGTGAAGGTGAAGGTGCCTTTCATGCTGGTAGTCAGATGGAAGAAGAGGTCAATCCAAGTCCAGTTAGTGACCCTGAGGTTGAAGAAGAGGAAGAAGAAGTTAGTGCAGACAGCGACGATCCGTTGGAGGGTGCTGATGATTCCGGTCCAGATTCAGACGCAGATGGTGATGCGGTAGCTCACGACCGTGTACCTATTCCATACTACAATCACATTCAAAGTGAAGATTGGTATGTTGATGAAAACATGGACCCGCCAGATGTGCAAGTATGGGGTCCACTAACTGGCTTTACGAAGGGCCAACAATTTGCAACGAAGAATGAGGTCCGACACGCTATTGCCACTGAAGCAATGACTCGGAGTTTTGAATGGCAAACAACCCATTCCGACACAAAGAGGCTGCTGGTTCGATGCAGAAATGAAAATGAGGGATGCAAAGCTAGGGTTCGGGCTATCAAGAGCAAGAGAGTCGGCCATTGGGTCATATCCCGTGCGGTGAACACACACACATGTGTGTCATCAATAACATCCCAAGGCCATCGACAGTTGAAATCAAGGGTGGTTGCCGCGGCTATCAAACATCTAATTGAGGAGCAGCCCGACCTGAAGGTCAAAACCATCATCGCCCACATTTCTAGTCGTTATGGTTATATCATTAACTACAAGAAAGCATGGCATGGGAAACAGAAAGCAATGGCTGCAGTGTTTTGTGACTGGGAAGAATCATATGCATTCCTTCCCAAATTGATTTTGGCGTTGGAGGTGTCTAACCCTGGCACCATTTTCTCGCCTCGCTACCAAGTGTTGTATTGTATTGATTTAAATTATTGAAAATAATCAATACGATTAACAATTAAGTAAATTATTGTACAACAAATAAATTACTTTAACAAAATACAAATTACAAGTGATGATAAATAATATGTACCTTGTGGTCGTTCCAAACGTCTCTTGAACGATGATTTGCTTGATCGTATAAAACTGTCGGATCAATCGGTCCTTGATCAACATAATATCGTTGATTGAAAATATCAACATTCGGCCCAACCTACGATAGCATAACAATAACATAAATCATTAGTATATAAATTAAATAAATCATTATAACAACAACAACAACAATTGGGAAAAATGAGTACGTACCGTTTGATAATCATCATAAAAAAGACCCTCTTCTTGAGCGAAATCGGCCATTCTCTCGGAATCCGGACAGAGTTTCGACGGGTTTTTAGTGAAAACCAAAGAAAAAGTATTTTGGAGGCAGATCGGACTTAGCCGCAACCAACAAAAAAACTAATTCTAAGGTTGGGTGGGAAGGGGTTGGGTAGAGAGAAGTTAGAGGGAAAGAGGGAGAGAGGTGGATGGTGTGCAGAAAAAGAAGAAGGCGGCGGCCGGGGGGGGGGGGGGGGGGGGGGGGGGGGGGGGTTTATAGTGCTCAAACCGCGTGGGGGAGGGTCGGTGGAGTAAATTCTCGCCACCACAAACCGCGCCCCCAGCACGTGGTTATAGTTTCCCGATGGTCAAACCGCGCATCAGACACGCGGTTTCATTTTCCCAACGGTCAAACCGCGCCTCGGGCAGGCGGTTTTTGTGGACGACACGGACTGCTGACTTGGCACACGTTTTATCCGTCTAAACGCTTCTCCGACTGGCGGTTTGATGCACCGCCACGTGGCAACACGGTTTGACAGCCTTGCAAGTTTAAACCGCGCCTTGGGGCGCGTGTTTCCCTTTAACCGCCGCCTGGATTAGCGGTTTTAAATAAAGGGTGGTATTTTTGGAAATTCTTTGGAGTGGGTGGTATTTTTATAATTTTTTTTTAACAGTGGTAGTTTTGGATTTTTTCCTTGATTTACTACTTCTTGTTAGAAATTGTTGCACATATTTTGTGATTGCTCCGCCATTAACATCAAATTGAAGTAAATATGAAATGTTTACTATCCTACGTGTATTAGTAATCCAAACTTAGAAATAAATTTTCTTTGATTTCACTTTTTGTTAACCTCCATTTTTGTTTTTTAGATAACATTTAAATTTGTACGTTCATATCATCAAATATCACCCCATGCTTGGATAATTGAGCTAATTGATTGAAACTCATGAGTAATTCCTTTGAATTTGATATGTAATGTACTATTTCTTGTTTACGTTCAATTCCTCAAAAGTTTAACTTATATGGAAACCTTCATTTTCCATTTGAATATTAAGAAAACTAAAATCCATAATTTTTGTTACTTTTAAAATTTGTATGAATGTTTTAATGGCCACCCAATTGGATGGATTATAATACGATCATTAATTTCTTATGATTTTTACTCCTATCTAAATATGAATGACAAATAATAATTTAAGTACTTGACAAAATCCTAAGTCATTTTTCGTCATCCTTGTCTAAGTACTTTTCTATTGCTAAGTGTGGCTCAACTATTAGCTAATAATTCTAATACATTAATCAAATATACACACTCGCTGGCATGCTATTTGGAGGTCTTTTTCGTCAGTGACGTGTCTTTTTGCTCATTGGAGTTTGTTTAGAGCTCCACATATAGTGACAAAGCGGTCTATTTCATTGGGAAGTGGCTGCATACGAACTATCGCTTGTCGTTGTAATCATTGTTGTAATTACCACATCTTTAAGACTTTAAAATTCTCTTATCTATCATTCATAGCTTAGTGTTTGCACGTTTCTAACCCTTAACCAACCTTTATTATTCCTTCATTTAGGTTTTTGAACAAGAACTCTGTGATCTTTTTTTTTTTAAAGGAAGTTCATTAAGAATACGACTGGGCCAAGCCCAAATGGAGAAATACAAGTAGAAATAGTAACCAGGCATGAAAATCCACAACAAAGAGGCCAAACATGCGGCCCAGAACCCAATAGGGCCCGGACCCGGGCCAAAACATGTCAAGATTCCCAAACCCTAGCCGCACATCCCCACCCCTCTGGAACTGCTGCCGCCGCAGTCGAAAACCACCACCGCCGTTTAGCCACCCAACCGACGTCGCCACCGCAGCCAAGCACCAAAACAGGGGATCGATTCTCGCCGACCTCGGAAGGAGGACTGAGGAAAAGAACCTCCCACCAACCCACCACGAGCCAGTCGCCTTCAGCCTCCCGCCGATTGAACGCGGGACAACATCATCCGACAGGTCGACGACGAGAGAACCAGAGGGAAAGGTACTTCTGTCTTCAAGCTTTCCCCTCTGAGTCCGACGCCAATGGCTACATCTCCGACTCACCAAGATTTGCAAGGAAAGACAAGGAGGTAGACATGGGAGAGAAAAGGAGAAGACAAGCCAGTTCAGGTTTAGATCTGGCCTCCATCGCATCTTAGATCAGGCCACCATCTCCAGATCTGGGTACCAGATCGAAGGACAAAAAAATACAACCCACCAGAGGGGGGAGGAAAAGAGACCCACCAACGGGCGAAAACAGAGTCAGGAATTGGCTGGAAATCGCAAAAGCGTGAACGAAAAGAGAAGAAAACAGGCAAAGCATAAAGAAAAACGAAAGAAAAAGGGCGGAGGGCTACCGCCGGCCGCCGGAAGGACAGTGGCAGCAGCCCCCACTCTCGTCTGAAAAGGGAGCGCTAGAGAGAAGACGTAGAAAAAGAAAAAGGAGTGTGAAAGGGGAAAGAGTCTCCTCTAATTGCTGGACTCTGTGATCAATGTACTTGACTATATACCTAAAATTGTACCAACAATTTATGACCGTAACTTTTTGGTTGGATGCATTAATCTAGGGTATCAAATATACTCAGCTAAGATGCAAGGCACTTAACGCATAGCCTCAGCGAAGATCCTCAAGCAAGCTAATCATTGTTGGAAATTTCATATAGTCATATTATCTAACCATTCTTAAATTTGGCTTAATGTAAGATGTTGAGCAATATTTTGGCATGAAAATGACATCTTTCTCCCTAAATCAATTGTGTCATGGATACACATTAAATTGTAAGATATATAATCGTTCAGAACCGAATCGAAAACCGGATAAGGACCGGATAAGAGAGTCCAACACCCAAAATTTAAGCAACTCCTCACCATTTCAGGCCTCAGAGGCCCACTGAAATCCCATAAGCTCAATCCAAAATCAAAACCAAATTGGAACCGGAACAGTTCAATACCGGAGTGGATCAAGACCGGACTATATCCAATCCAATCCAATCCAATCTTTGGTCCTTATATTCCCAAAAATACCGGACCGGACCAATTCGTGCCAATTTAACCGAATTGGACCATATAGCCACCTCCACCCCCATTGTAAAGGAATAAACGGCTAGATGTGTTAGGGCTGAGGAGAAATAGGGTTTAACTTTGATAATTTTTTAGGGTAATACCACTAGGAATACCATCCTTTAGCGAAAGTACCATTTATATTACGTATTTTCAATAAACACAAAATATTCCGACATATTAGGGGTTTACGTCATTTGTGTTTCGCGAATTTTTGTTGTCCGTTAGAGTTAACGGTTGAACCTAACGGTGGTCAACCTTTGTTAGACCAACAATGAAGTGTCGCCTATGTGTCGTCCACGTGTGCGATACGTAGATGCCTTGTGGGAAATAATATATAAATTTTAAATTAATTCTTTAATAATTAAATATTAAATAGAAAATTAATTTTTTCCCACCCACCCCGGAGCAGGGACGCATGTGCTTGCCGTCACCGTGCCGCCTAGGAAGAAGAAGCGAGCGTCGCTTATGCAATCGCGTAGGGGAATGGCCTGAGACGTTGTCGGCGTCAATCGTCTCTCTCTGTCTCTACCTCTCTCGATATGGCAGTTGTCGATCGATCTTCTTTTTTTCACTCAAATCCCATAAACAAAAAAAAAATTATTCCCAATCTCAAATCAGATCCATCGAGAACTTTTAAAAAAGGAGCTTCCTCCATCGAGAAACAATATCATCGATGACAATATGCAGCTGGAAACAGACCCGTTGGGTGGAGGACAAGCGAGGGAGGCGCTCGATCTCGTCTTAGATTATGCCACCTCCTAATCGCCTTCAAAAGCTTCCTTTCAGACAGGAGCTTCCTCTGTTTCAGGCTCCTTGTTTCCTCTTCATCGCGACGCGAAACAGAGTAGCGGCGACGCTTGTCACCGCCACGGATTCCTTGTGGTGTTCTAAATCTGGTCTTGAGGAAATCGATGGAAGGCGGGAGTGCGAGAATCGAGGTAAAGGGAGTGGCGGACGGCGGGAGCCGCTGTGAGGATGTGGTGGTGGTGTTGGCGGCGGCGACAGAAGATGTGAAAAAGGGGGAGATGGAAGAAAGGTTGCGGCTGAGGGGAGGGATAGAGAGAGTTAGGGAAAGATGGACGATACTTTGTTTTGTTTTTTTTTTACATTTATTTTTTATTAAAAGTTTCCACATCAGCTGTCATGTCAACTGTTGGGGGTATTACAAAGAAGGCCCAAAAAGGGTCCCGACAAAGCCCAATGAGACAAGAGTGGGCTATCTAGTAGGAGAAGCCAATAAATAGGCCCATAGAACCTATTCCAAGCAGGATGGAAGGCACATAAAGACAAAACACGAAAGGCTCCAAAGAAGTCCAGGTTGTCAAACGGTCCCCCACCTACATGCGCCTGTCAGTCGTTAGAAGACTGACAAGGTGGTTGGGCCGTCTGACAAGAATGAAGGTACAAAGCATTAAATGCGACACTGGCGTGGAAGAGATCGTCCTCGAGTTGGGGGGGGGGGGTATAAATAGGGGCGGTAGGTAGCATTTACACAGGGTGGACTCTCTCACTAAACTCACTTACTACGCACTTCTCTCTATAGAAAGGAAACTGACTTGATCGTCGGAGGGCTAACGGGCCCGGGCGCCCCCCTCTGTGTTCTTGTGTGTAGGCCAGAAGCCTACCGTCAAAGGAGCGAGTTCGGTGATGTGGCATCAAGGCTCAAACAATTGGCGCGCCAAATAGGGGGGTTAAACCGAAAAACTATGAGCATGGAGGCGCCTATGAGAGGAAAGGAGGAGGAGATCACGGGAAACCAGTCCGAGGGGTCAAGGGGGAGCACGCCCGAGGCCGTAGAAGGGGAAGGAAGCGATGCGATGTTCCGAAACTCGGAGGACGCCTCGGTCACTAAGAAGGAGCTATTTAGAATAATTGAAGATCAAGGCAAGGCGATCGAGGTTCTTAGACGAGAAATCGAAGCTCTAAAGAGGGGAGAAAGGGTGGTGCACAACCTAACTTCGAGGAAAAGAGAAGGGTCGCGGAAACCCTAAGAGAGGGTGCACTATGCATGCATCTCTGGCACAGAGCGGAAAGAGACGGAGTTGCTGCCCCCACCGTATGACCTCGAGCAAGACAAGGCGCCTAAGCAGGTCCGGCTCACCGTGGAATCCATTTCGGGAACGCTGGACTCAAGGGAGAAGTTGGATGCCAATCGCCAGCTGAGAGCCACTTCTGTCGACGCCCAGGAGGCAATCAACATCAATTTCAACCAGGCACCCGAAGAGGCATGTATGCTCCCGTCCATGGACGCGTTGGAGATACAAGGGGTGGTCGCGTGATGCAAAGTACAAAAGATGCAAAGTAAATTTACCTATTCAATAAAGTTATGAATTAAATATAAATAAAGTAAAGTAATGTATTTGGTAATTTGATGCTTTGAAACGAAGAGGGCAATTTTGGTGCATTCAATTTTTGGAAAAAGAAAGAAGAGGGAAATTTGGTTTCTTGAATTTTTGAGAAAAGAAACAAGGGAGGATTTTGGTGGTTTTGATTTGTGAAAAGAGAAAAGTGGGAAAGTTTGATTCTTTTGATTATGAAAGAGAAATAAGGAGGGAAACTTTGAGTTTTCAATTTTTTTGTGGAAGGGAGGAGGGAAGAGGAAAATTTGATTCTTCAATTTTATGGAAGAGAAAAAAGAGGGAAAATTGAGTGTTTCTAATTTATGGAAGGAGAATGAAGGAGGAGAATTTTGGTATTTGTTTTGTGAAAAGGAAGAAGGAAACAAATTTGGTATTTTCAATTTTTTGGTTTTTCAAAATTTTAGTCTTTGAAATATTAAATTTTAATTTTTATATGGAGAGCATGAATAATTAAATTTATTCTTATATGCTTTGAAGGCTAATATATATATTAGTTACAAATATAATTTGTTTTAGAAAAATTCATTTAATTTGTCTACTTGTTTTCTATGCTTCTACATTTATTGTAAGTTCAACACTACATGATTGTTATTTTACAACACTTAGAAAATTTTTGGCACATTTAAGTTGTGTTTGAGTTGAACTTTTATTTCAAAATGGGGGTTAAACTTGGTCTGTTAAGTCATACGATTGAAATAACTCAGTCAAGATGCGGGTTTGAAAATTTTGGTTAATCGGATTGCGGCTCAGTTTGGAATGGAAAATGAGAGGGAGGTTTGGGTGGGAACTTTGGAATGGAAAATTTATGGGCGGGTGAATATGAGCCAACAATTATACTAAACTTGATAAGTAACCTTTGACGGTTTGTTGTTTAGGGTATAAAGTATATGGTTAGGGTATAGGGTATAAGGTACAGATGGTTTAGGGAGTATATGGTTAAGGTATAAGATATTGATGGTTTTGAAGGTTCTAAGTTTTTATTAACATATGTTCACCTGAAGTCATTTGAATTCTTTAACGGCAGGAGATCCCTTTTTAATTTATGTTTATGGTACGTGGTTAGGGTACAAGGTATATGGTGTAGAGTATAGGATATATGGTTATTGAGAAAGTTATTATTGAAGTCACAACAGTTTTACTAAATTTGTTAGTTAATCTTTAATTGTTCAATTTTTAGGGTAATTCGAATAATTTTACAAATAACTCGTTTGGCAACAGATTACTGAAGTTATTTGGGTAATGAGTTATTTCGAAATAACTCCTTCTACAACTCTGCTTTTGCCAAATACCACACGCCAAATACCAGATTTGCATGGTTATACTAAACGAGATACTTTAATCCAATTACTACTGAAATAATACTAAAAGACCAAATAAACAATTAATAGTGTATTTTGGTTGCAAATGTTGATATCACCATTACTATTAGCTAGTGTACTTTACCAATTACGATTAATTACATAACAATTTGCAAGTCATACAAATTGATCAACATTTTGACTATTTTTTTAATTAAGTATATATACGAGGTAGAAAGAAATTGGTTAAAAATTGAGAAAAATATTTTGAATTAGCGTAATAAAATGTGTAAGTTGGTAACGAGAAATGAGTAATTTACTCGATGCGCTGACCCGATCAACCCGTAACCCGATCAGCCCGCAACATGCCCGACCCGAAACCCGATGGACCCAAACCCGATTTGCCCGCAACCCTATTGAACCCCAACCCGATGAACCCGCAACCCAACTAACCCGCAACCCGTTTGAACCCGAACCCGATGAACACGGAACCCGACTAACCCGCAACCCGATTGAACCCAGACCGAACCCGCCCGATTGACACCTATAGTTGTTATCCCAATCAAGATGAACTTCTCAAGTTATCGAGTTGCTCATTACGACTCGGTCGACGATGACCAAACACGTGTCGACGAGTTAGACTTGGCAGATGAAAAGCGCAAAGTGGCGGCGATGCGTCTGGAAAGGATGAAACGACAGGTAGCTCAGTACTATGACAAAAAGATGTGCCCGCACGGGATCACTGTCGGCGCCCAAGTACTCAAGCGTGACTTCCGCTCAAACTCTCGGGAGGGGAAGTTAGCACCAAAATGGAAGGGTCCATACCGAGTGCGAGTTGTTGTGGGAGCCCGGACATTCAAGCTGGAACACCCTGATGGCAAGGTGGTGAAAAGGACGTGGAACGCACAAAATTTACGACTTTACCAACAGTCGTGCGCGCGTCTCCGATTGATAGCGAGGATATGATGGTATGGTTTAACGAAAGTGGGGGGCATTTTGTTCATACTTTGTGTAATCAAGTGTGACGTTTACAGCGCTCGTGTCGTGTATAAAGCGCCCAAAGTAGTAGCGCCGTATTATGTTCAAAATGCCCAAAACTGTAAGCGGCCCAACTGTGTTGACATGTCATGTTTACTTTAATGGTCAGTTAAAGCGCCCCATTTTGCGCCCTATGCCTTGAGCAAAAATCCGCAATTGTGTTAATTTATTTAAAGCGCCCAACTTTGTGCCCTTCAATTGAACGAGTGATGAAAGTGAGTGGGGCCTTGTTAAAGCGCCCAACCTTGCGCCCTTCGGACGATACAATCACACATATATGACAGCGCCCATGCCTAGCGCCCTACAACGAAAAGAAAATCAAACAACACACCAATTAAGAACGCATAAGATAGACCAACCACTGATTGTCATTATTAAAACGCAACAAGTGCACGAAGTACATGGTTGTCCAAAATATAAGTTACAAAGGAGGCGCCTAAACTTATTCACCCTCGGAGGTGGCGTCCCCGACACTGGGCGCCTGATCCCCTGGAGTTGGAGGAGCATCAGTTGTCGGAGGCGCATCTGCCGCTGGAGGTGCGTGCGCCTTCCCCTCCTCACTCGTGCCAAGCATCTCACCGATCACGAAATCGACCATATTTGACAAGTCCCAGACTTGATGGGGAAAATCCCTCTCGAGCTTATTCTTCAAGATGCCCAAGCTTGTCAGACAGGCGTTCGCAAACAGATCTTTGTTGGCCTCGGAATCCTCGAACGTGTCCAAGGAAGTCTGAAAAGCGGTAATCTCTTTCCAAGCTGCCTTCAAGGACTTCTTGTAGTCTTTCTGGTCATCGTGCAACCTTCTTTTTTCCTACTTGATGAGGTCGATCTTGCTAGCCTGGGAGCCCACCTCTTTCTCCAGCGACTCTTTCTCCAATTCCAGAGCCTCAAGCCTCTCCATGAAGCCCCTTCGCTCCTCCTCGAACTCTGCCTCACACTTGCGGCGCTCCTCCTCTAGGGCGCCTTGAAGCCGCGACACTTCCATGACCGCTTTCAGTTGGGCGTCTTCGCAGTCTTTCACCAGCTGCTCGCGGTTCATGGTTGCCATCTCCAGATCGTCCTTGAGAGCGGACGCGGAGGTCGAGGCTGCCAGCGCCTCCTCCTTGGACTCCAGCAAGCGTCAGGCTCCTCTTTCAGCGAAAAGGAATATCTGCGAACATAAAATCGAAAGGTCAAAAGTATGAAAACCAAACTTGGCAAATTGTGCTAAAAGTCGAATAACAAACCTTGGCGCCCACTTGGGCTAACTCCGCGAAGAGGTGTTCTCCGTTCAGCTCCGAAGACACCTGTAGCATCTTGGCGGGAGACATGGCTAACCCCATGGCACACCCTCTATCCATGATGGCCATCGAGGAGCAAAGAAGGGCAATGCCCCCGGGCTCGGTGAGAAGTGGCTCCAGGATCGGTGGGCGCCCATCAGAACCCACGAAGCGCCCCTCCTCGTCCAAGTGAACTAGGGCGCCTTGTTGTTCAATAGGGCCTGTGGCAGTGGCCTTTCCCTTCTCCCTATCACTCTCTCTAGCTTTTTCTTGCTGACATGGTGCAGGGGGGAGGGAAGCCTGCCCTCTTCTCGCGACGGACTATAGAGGAGGTCGTAGGGTCGAAGGCTGACTCACCCGCATCTGCCTCGAAAGCGGAAGACGCCACGCTGGTTGTCTTGGTGTGGGCGGGCGCCTTCGACGGGGTTGCCTTGGCTTGGTCTTTCTTCCTCGCCTTTCTCTTTTTCTGAGCAGAAGGTGGAGGCTCCTGGTGGCGAGCGGCATCGATAGCAGGAGGCTCCCCAGCCGGCATCATAGCAAGCTGACTCTTCATCAGTTTCCCAATGGTGGAGAAATACGATCCTGCACACAAACATAATGATTAGAACAAGTGATTAAAGAAAAGCTTGGACAAGCATTAAAGGGCTCCCACACAACATCGTCATAATACTCCTCCAAAATGGGAGCGCTGTTAGAAGTGATGCGTAGGTTCATGGGATTCGTGCTAATGAGTTGGGCGCCTTTGGTTTCATCTGACGAAAGATGAACCCTCGTGTTAAAGGCATCAACCCTGCCCAACTCCCACTTCCTCAGAAAGGCCCCTTCACTTTCGAAAAAGGAGTCCTGGTAGGCTTTCATGAAGAAGAACCCGTTGTCCGTTGAACCAACTCCACCCCAACTTGGGGAACCTAACCAAGAAATGGTAGGGAAGCTTCGAGCGCTTCTGCAGGGAGAGGCAGTTGTCAATCGCCACCACGTTGAAGAAGTATCTTAAGAGGTTGAAGGTGGACCTCACGTTGTGCATTCTACACTTTAGTTTGAACAAAACTACAACCACCATAACTGAAGGAGACAGGCGCCCCAAGGGAGCACCCGCACATCGCCAAGATCCCCTCTAAGATGGGGTCTATGGGAAAGCATACTCCAAATCGAAAGTACTCCTAGTAGATTCCGATCCACTTGGGGCCGCACACACCAACTCTGCATATGGGCAAAGGGGGCGCGTACCACCAGTTGCGCGACAATTGCAGGCTGGTCACTAGTTCGTGCACTCGTGCCAAGGTCACTATCGATTGGTGATCTGGCCCAGCCACGTCGAATGGCAACTCAGAAGTCTCGATCGTCACGTGATCAGGAGGAAACGTCTTCTCCCATGTGGTGATCTTATACGAACCATCAGCAGGCATGAAGCTCCGAGTGGAGGCACTTGATGGTCCAGCAGATTCAGGCACCCGATCTAAATCAAAAATCAAACCAGGCGTACAATCGTGAGTCAGGGTAAGCGACGCCCACGCTTAAGTGTAGAAAATCAAAAAGAAGATCAAAAAGAGGGGGAAATTCAGAACGAGCGCTTACCAGAGTTGGAAGGGCGATTGGGGGTAACGCCTGCATCAGAGGTGCCTGCACCGGTAGCCTTATCTTGTGAGGAAGCCATGTGATCGTTGGAAGAAGAGAGGACGACGACGGCGTTAGGGAAGCTAGAGAGAAGTTAGAGAGAGGGGATTGTGAAGAATGGTGATGCTGAGGAGGCTGGAGGTATTTAAGGGAGGAGATTGCGCCCGAATTTTTAATTTCAAAAAATTCCAATTTTGAATTTAAAAATTCTTAGGTTAAGTCTCAAACCTCCGCCCGTGTGGGGCGCGAGGGAGCACACAGGCGCCCAAATACAAAAGAAATGAGAAGAGTCAGCGAAGGGTGGAGGCGCCTTCCGTAGCATATATTCGAAAGTATTTGATCGCGCAAGTAGGCGCCTGGTCACAAGGCAAGTGGGGAGGGTCAATGAAGGTTTAGGGCGCCTCTTGAGAGGGGGGCATGTATTCAAGAAGATTTGATCGGGCAAATTGGCGCCTGGGCATGAGATGAACGAGGGAGGATGATGAAAGGTTGAGGCGCCTTTTGGTTAAATACAGGGAGGACAATAGTGTGCCCGCTGGGGAAATTTAGACAACTTGTGGCCTTAACAACAAGAAGAAAGGAGTCACGACAAGGGTGAGGCGTCGTGCCAAGAGGATCAGTTAGGCACTCAAGTAAAGGGGCATGAGTGTCTAACTGGGGGGCAATTGTTGGGGGTATTACAAATAAGGCCCAAAAAGGGGCCCAACAAAGCCCAATGAGACAAGGGTGGGCTATCCAGTAGGAGAAGCCCATAAATAGACCCACGAAACCCATTCCAAGCAGGATGGAAGACGCATAAAGACAAAACACGAAAGGCTCCAAAGAAGTCTAGGTTGTCAAACGGTCCCCCACCTCCAGGCGTCTGTCAATCGTCAGAAGACTAACAAGGTGGTTGGGGCGTCTGACAAGAATGAAGGTACAAAAGCATTAAATGCGACGCTGACGTGGAGGAGATCGGCCTCGAGTAGGGGGGGTATAAATAGGGGCGGTAGGTAGCATTTACACAGGTTGGACTCTCTCACTAAACTCACTTACTACGCACTTCTCTCTCTAGAAAGGAAACTGACTTGATCGTCGGAGGGCTAATGGGTCCCGGGCGGCCCTCTCTGTGTTCTTGTGTGTAGGTCAGGCGCCTACCGCCAAAGGAGCGAGTTCGGTGACGTGGCATCAAGGCTCAAACATCAACGTTCAGTGATATTCTCTGTTAACTACTAACAGAAAACTTAACGGCTAGAATACAATTGTCATATCGAAAGTTACATAATATAAATGGCACTTTCACTAAAGAATGGTATTTCCTGTGGTATTAGCCCTATTTTTTAATAGAGTTTACAAAACTGTTTGAAAGAACAAAAGACAATTGGCTCCTTCCGAACTCTACGCTAGCCAGGGAAAAGGGAGCGGGGTGGGTTCTCTTCTCGCCAAGAACCTCCATAATATATTTACTAGCTTGGTACCCGGCCTGTTGGCCGGGAAGTCTTATTTTATTATGTGATTACGTTTTCTTAAGATGAAAATTTTATGCATACATACGGTATAATCATGTTTTCGCGAACATGCAACATGTATAATTAGATACTTAATTATAATATTTAAATTATTTTCGTATATATTATTTTTGTAAATGTTTGTAATTTTTCACATGAGACCCTTATGTAAAATTTTGATGACTTCACTTAATATAAAATAGAAAGACTAATTACATAATTAACCACTTATGTAAAAATAATTACATGTTCCTAACTCAAGATATTCAGTCTTAATCTACATATACCAATTCTTTGCTAAGTATATAACATGTATATGCTAAAATTTTGGGATGTTTAAAATACTCGCTCATGATGGTTTGTTTTTCTAATCTTGATTTGACCTTCACTTATGGGTTAGATATTTCTAGTGTTGGGTTAGTATCTTTATAAAAATCCCATTAAAGGTAACTTATTGGCCAAAATATTCAAATGATTATTTTATATGATATATAAATGTGTGTTTAATTATCCAAGATATTCAAATGATTTGTACATACACATAAAATATAGGATATTTGGTAGAAATTATATAATACTTTTTTTTGTGAGAAGTTAATAATACTTCTAAACGTTAAAGAGGTCAAATATGGTGAAGATAAGTATGGAAATGGGAGTGGCGTTAAAAATTCCATATATTCCTAATATAATACATGAACGAAAAAAAATGAGAAAGAAAACACTTAAAACGGAGAACAACAAAGAAATTGTGACGCCCTAACCCGGCCGGGTACTACTATTACCAAAATGCTCTTGATAAACCATTAACCAAAATAAAAACCAAACATACTGAGAAACTTAGCGAGAAACTTTATTTAAATATCCATAATAAATACGTTGAAATTCAAATAACAATTTCTTGAAATTTGCATAAGAGGAAATCATAAACATCTATAATAAATGTGCATCAAGTCTCAAGCCCTACTAAGTACACGAGATTAAAATCTTCGCAC